GAGCCTCTCTGGATTTGAGCATCTCGTTGAAAATTGTTTTCAACGTCAGGCGGATTCGATGTCTAGAAGTCTAAGGTTTATTACTTAAACTGCATAGAGAAAAGAGGCAAAAATAATTATATGATTAATATTCCCTTAGCTACTGCTTCATATATTATCAAATCATACGAATAACTATCATTAGAGAAAACCATTTTCGCCAGATTTTGCTCATTACTATATTTAAAAAGAGCTGTTGTCAATTTCATTTCAGTAAATTTTATTACATTTACATAGCACATATTTTTACTTGTTTCGTACAAATGTATATTTTACGGACAACAGTGTAATACTGAGAATCAAATTATGTTTTATGGTCCTAGTCAGGAATCTTATCTGCTAAGCATAAAGAGATACCGCGCTCTGCGAGATGCACATTCCATTCCAGGTGGTCAAATATCATTCAGCCGCGGTTCACTTAAACGGATCATGCACCACTACGAGCATCATAGTGCAATACGTAGTGATATTTGATTTTGGAGGAGTTTAGCGCTTGCTACAAACTTTGGTGCAAGAACTCATATTTTAATGTTTACACAAGATAGCACATATGGAGTGCCAACTAGTGCCATATTACAATGAGCAGAGACTGCCCTGGCGAACTAAATGCTACCGTCTTAATAAATAATTAAATCCAGCGTTATAAGTGTACAAATATCATGAAGTAAGCTACTTAATTAGCTTACAGGCACCTAAAAACAAGAGGGCAATGCAATAAGCCATTAAGGCCAGTTGTAGACGAATCAATCATTCATAACTTATAAGTTTGAACCATGATCTGTACATGGCAACGGTCTCTAAAAAAGTAGCAGCTATGATGGGCAAGATTTTGTTTTACAATAAAACCAACATGTATTCAAACCGTAGCACGTTTGGCAAATCCTAATAATCCAACTCAACTGTTTGAATATCTAGAGAAGCGTGCCGAAACTGGACTTTCAGAAATGCAGTGAAGTATGTGTACAATAAGGAGACGAAAATATCGGTGCCTTCCTTACGTTTGGCTAATAAACCGCGTTTCAATGGTGTTAAGCCGAGTATATATGTTGAAGCAGTAATGATTAAAGTAAATATTAAACTACCTACGCGTTTAACCACATCACGGCGATATTTCTGAATGACGACACATTGACAAAAACTATGGAGTACAACATGCCTTTTAAATGCTTTACTGCTTAAGTAAGACAGTGTTCGAAACGGCAACCTGAAATACACCTGGTCCTTCTTAATCACATCGACGCTCGTTCTCAAGATCGCGAAATTACAGCTTCGATGATTTGCACAAGCAGCTGGATTAGGACGCCCTCAAGACAGATTCATTAGGCAGAGACTCTCTGATGATGAGAAACGAAAGACGGTCCAGGACAATCAGCGAACAGATTCGACTATACTGAAAAACTGAAAACTCTATTCTGGAATTCATAGCATTGAGATTGACGGTAGACAAAGTCAACGGGAAAGGTCTCCTGAAGCAACTGTCCCGAAATCTAAAAATAATAGACGGCATTCCCAACGAATCAATGAATAAACGAATCAATGAATGCATGCATGTATTGCACTGTGTAGAAAACAGTTTGTTTCATCATACTTTCACCATTATAGTCACTGCCAAAATAAATTACAAGTATCAACCGTTTACATCATTGCTCTCTTTCCGAAGTGGTGCAGGCAGACAAAGGACGCCTCCTTGATGATCTTGATCATCTTCACTGCGCGAAGCTTAATATGCAAACAAATATTAAACCAAGTCATATCGAAACTATAGACATATGTCATACCTGGCTGAAGAGATTTTCTTACTTTCACCTAAAAGTATAACTACATAGCAATTACTGACTGCACATACATACATACATACGTATATATATAAGCACTAACAGCTTTAACAGAAGCAAAATTAAGCCTTGAACAATACACGATCAAGATATTATCGAATTGCACAGATCAACAATTAATCGAAACTCCGATGGGCTTCAGTCAACAAGCTATCAACTAAACTAAACTGAACTAACATTTCTACCCTCACACTGATGAACTGCTACGACAATATGCACATAATGCGCAACATATACAAAATATAAGACAAGAAAAACAAGGAGAGAAATAGCAAAAAATTAATATGCTAATGATTTATATGTAAAACAGTAGGTCACTCAGACAGGATCGATTTTTGGCAGATTCTCGTTCTTGCATCTTTATTCTGCAGAGCCACAGTCATAGGCGAGATCATAAATGTCCTCTATACTTCAGTTGGTACGCAGATGCAACATTTCTGCACTTCGTGGACTGAGAAGTCAAAGTATAATTAAAAATATTACTATGAGGGAGTGGAGAAAATCCACTGAAACAGATTCACAGCTTTACAACATACTTTAATAGCTGATCTGCCATAATGCCTATAATATTCACATATGACAGCTGGTTGTCTTGGCGACACGTTTCTAAACCGATCGAAGTTCAAACAGCTGTTTTATAGCATAAAATACATTCATGAAACAGATGCAACTAAAGGTAGAATAAAACCAATGAGAAGCAGCAAATGGATTC